ACAATTCAAAAAAAAAAAAAAAACGCATGAATTAACGAAATTGAATTACTCTTTATTATGCCTAAAGTGTATGTCATGTTGAAATCAACTTGCTTCCGGAATTTTATGCTGCTGAGAAATTCAATGGAGGGGAATTTACATACATACCACATAATTCTTATCTATTTAAATATCTAACACCCATATTTAATATTTAGATATATAGCACTCAAATTTTTAACACAAAAAAAAAAACCACTCACCTACATTTTCAAAATGGAATACATATATGTTAGGCATGTAAATATGAAAGTTTTAACTGTAATATATATATATATATATATAAATACATAAGAATTGTGTGGCATGTACCTAAATGCTCCCCCAAGAAAACAAAGACACATTTTCATCCTAAACATTTATGACCATGAGCAAAAACAATGAATTCAAAGCAAATGTAAGGAGTGAATTTCAGCTAATTTAAGTGGTACATATCTCAAAAGTTATTCTCAACATCATATTGTTGCTTAATTAAAATAAAAAAAATGGTAAATATAACTCTTAAAGCGAGCAGAGTTCCTGAAGACTGGTTTGAGGAAGGAATCTGGAAACAGCTAGTAATAATTAACTGAAACATGATCCTCTCTGTACATCACATTTCTTAACATGAGCATATAAATAGCACATTCCCTAATTAACTTGTAATCTCTGACGGTTATGATAAAGCTGATGATGATATGCCTATGGCTAAATAATAACAAAAACAGGAAATTGTCAGCCCAAGCAGAAACCACCGATCCGATGCCTTAAAAAAGTTGCAGAACCTTTTGCACAAAATAATGTCATGAGGGAAACTAGGAAGTAAATAAAGAAAAAATGGTGCCTCTACAGGGTGCTGCTGCTGCTGCTGTAGAAAACTTTAACAAATATTTGACAAGAACATTGCAGGGAAAGAAGGCAGATGGAGTGAAAATTACAGGTCATGAATGATGGAAACATTACTATACCTTCAGCATGGTTTCTGCTTGTCGACTTTCAGGTGGAGTTTGAACCATTTCTTCTTTCTTGGACGATCTCTTGACTTCTTCTCCTTCGCTGGATTTTCTTCTGCCATAGATCCCTTGAAGGAAGATCTTACCTTGCTGCTACTGGAGCTCCACGATAGAGGAGGATTGGTGGAGTAAGAAGCATGAACCGTGTTTCTTTTTTTTAGAAGCCCGTCTATCTAAATTAGAAATAAGAAAAAAAAAATTGGTATTTTTTAAAAAATGACCCTTTATCATATTAAATGAAGTCATGTAAAGAAGAACTCAGTTGACCATTTTAATTTAGGGCTGTTTGACATCACTTCTTTTTTTTTTTTTTTTGTTCTTAGTTTTTATTTTGTTTTTAAAAAAATATTTAATTGGTGTAATTTTTATATATATATCTTTTTTTTTTTTTTGAAAATACGGTGAAACCTGCAATGCATATATATATATCTTTTTATTTTTTTTTTTGAAAATACGGTGAAACCTGCAATGCTCTATGGCACAGAGTGTTTGGCTTTTAAAAGAGAAACACAAAAGAAAGTTGAGTGTTGTTGAGAAGAGAATGCTTGGGTGGATGAGTGGTTTGACACTTAGAGACAAAATGTGAAATGAATATATCCATAATAGGGTTGCTGTAGCTCCAGTGGCGAACAAGATTAGAGAGAATCGTTTAAGATGATTTGGTCATATTAAACGTCGACCATTTGATAATAGGGTTGCTGTAGCTCCAGTGGCGAACAAGATTAGAGAGAATCGTTTAAGATGATTTGGTCATATTAAACGTCGGCCATTTGATGATCCAATTAAAAGAGTTGATGTCTTAGATTCAACTTATGTTAAAAAAAGCAAAGGTAGACCTAAAAAGACTTGGACATATTGTATAAAAAAATGATCTGAATTTCTTAGAATTAAATGTAATTTAATAGAATTAAATGTAAATATGACACTCAATAGAATGCAATGAAAAAAAAGGTTTCATGTAGCGGACTCCACTTAATGGGATGTAGGGTTGTTGTTGTTGTTGTTGTTGTTAAAAACAAACACAGTTGTGGGATGTAGGCTTGTTGTTGTTGTTGTTGTTAAAAACAAACACAGTTGTCAGGAGAGGAAATTGAAAAAGGCGGGATCATGGAGTTTTGAGAAGGAGATAGGATGTGGTAGCGTTGAAAAGAAAAATCAAGAACAGGTGAATGAATGGAAGATGGCAGAGATGAAGGAAATGAATTTGTGAGGGATAAAAATATTCCAACAAAAATTTGGTCAAGTTTAAAAAAGCTTTGAATTATTCAGGCCAACTCTCCAAATAAAATTCTGATCCATCACATAATATCAAATTCGTTCAGAATAAACTTCATACAATGGGATTGAAATCTGTTAGCAAAATGGATTTGATTTAATTTTAGCTTAAAACTTGATGAAAAAGAAAGTTGGATATGTAAAATTCTAACTCACTTCCTCGGCTTCATGTGCATATCTTTTTGTCATATCAGTAAACTGTGCCAAAACCTGCAAAAATACAAATCATAAAGAGTCGCAGATCCAAGTATTTCACTGATGGAGAGCAATTTTGGACAGAATAACAAACCTCTCGATATTCACTCTCAAACTTAGACAGTTCTAATCTTTTGGCTAATATCTTAGCTTCCACATCCCGAAGTTTTTCCTTCTCGGTGGAAAAGGCTTCCCCACATAAAACCTCTATGGTGTAAGTAGCACTCTTGAAAAAATTGTCACCTATAAAAGAGGTAATTGAAGGTCATAAAATAAGATACGATATTACCAGACGATTAAAATATATCTTTCTATTATAAATTTAAACCACTTAATATACCATAAACAGCAAAGATATGCCTCCCAGCTTTCAGTTCATTTATTTCACAAGGCTGAAATCCATCTAATTTTCTGAAAAAGGCAGCATCGGGATCCTTAACAACTGCCATCTGGGAGTAAGAAGTTAAAAGAATAAATTGCAAGAGTCAACAAATAGATCATGATAGAATGGTGAAATTTTTTTGTGAAGATGACGTCCTCACAGATTTAGTCTGATCAAACCGGTAAACTGGAAAACAAAGAAAAAACATGCCAGCGGAGGACATCTTTCCAGTTTTTCTACTGTCTTCCTGCAAGATAAGTGTGCCCACAAAAACTTTAGCATATAAGAATTATCATTGCATAGGTATATTTGTAATAATTAGCACTGTTTCATTTGTCCAATTCATAACAGTTCACTCTCATGAATACACACCCATCAGAGTTAAGTGGATTGTGTAGCCCTTTTAAAATCAATCATGATTCAAATATTTATTTCAATTGGTAGACCTCAAATACCAAATGAATTGGATATACTCCATAAGTCAATCAGTCAGGTAATCTCTATATACATAAATGAGTGATTAAAGAGACATAAGGAGTTTTAAACAATACTGTAATGGTTAACACATTATAACATAAAGACAAACCTGTAATGCAAGGCTGAGCCCGCCGTTAACTTCCTGCTCAAAGTAAAGCAACTGCATGAAGAAAATTTATGTTAGAAGGCGAGTCTAAATGTGAAAAAAAAGTATAGCAACTAAAAAACCACAATATTGTCACAAAAGCATAGGATACTCAAACCATGACAAAAGCATTCAAAACATATGATTTGAGACCACCAAATGCTTTCTAGTTATTCTCTGCTTCTTGCTTATTAGAAATACTACCAATTTGCTTCTAAATATCTACCAAATCACAGGAGAGGTGTGCAACATGCATGATGGATGACACTGAAGAGTATAGGAATCCAAGTGATTTGTTAAATAATCATTAGTTCATGGCAAACTAGTTAGATGTAGAATGTTAGAGAATGGAAATAATTTGGGGAAGGCTTTGGGAAAGAGACTCTAAGAAGTGTTCAATATTGGCATCACAATATTAGATCTCCCCAGATTGCTTCAACAAAGAAGAATGTCTCAAGCTTATAGGATGTTGTATAGATAACTTTATTATGAAATAAAAATAGTAATAATATGAACAACATAAAACTAAAAGAATTAGACAATCAATCACAACTAATCAAGCTAAAAATTGAATAAATAAATAAAATTGGATAATATTAATGAATGACACCCATTTGAATTAAATTCCCATAAAAATATTGTGCAAATAAATTTTTAAAGATTCATAAAATCTTATTTTATTTTTCTTGCTCTCTTGCACTATCTCGGGCATGAAAAAACTTGACAAAATTCTATCATGATCTATTTGTTGACTCTTGCACTATCTCGGGCATGAAAAAACTTGACAAGGAGTCTTGAAAAAAAGTATTTAAACCAGCTAAGAAACTTTGATCTTTGTTACACCCAACCACTTAATTTGTGCATCATCATCTTCTAGATGTATGACATATTCTGAAGTGGTTCTTACTTAAAAATGTTCCACAGCAGAACATGATTGAAGGTTTGTTTGAGATCACTTTCTTTCATTTGGATTTATTTTCATTTTCTTTTAATACAAAATAAAAGATATGTTTGGTATCCTAAATAAGTGTTTTTTTTATTATTATTAAATATTGAATTAAGCCATGTTGGAAGGTGGTGATTAGTCGTAAAGATGATTTTCACTTTAAGAAAAATAAAAACAACTAAAATATCTTTAAAATTGTTTTGGCATTTTAAAAACAGTTTGATTTATTTTCCAAAAACTAAAAAACACAAACAAAAAGTGTTTTTAAAAACAAAAATAAAATAATCTAAGAGAACACTTAAATTTTTAAACCAGGTAAGACTTCAGCTTGAAATCTCATTCACGCTTTCTAATGAATCTCTTCTACATAGATAAAATCATCTTAATTTTTTTGCTTAGCTAACTTTTTTTTTTCTTTTGTTAAAGTCTATCTTTGAAATCAACATTATTATCAAAGCGAGGGAATTCTTTGAATTCTACATTCTTAAACATTAAATCGCTCTTTTTTTTTCTTTTGCTTTTTAAATCTTACTTTTCTGTTTTTTATTTTCTTCAAGTCTTCTTTTCTGTTAACCATACATGCCTCCTTTAGATATTCGACCATTACAAAATGATTGCTATAGTTCGAAAATTTAGGTGAAATTTTATTGTTGGAAATTTGTGGTTAAAATTTGTTGATTTATATTTGTTAGATCTATGGCTAAGCTATTGTTTCTAACGACAAATATTCTTTTACCGACAAACTATTAAAGACTAATAGAAGTTAATAATTATAGGACCAAAACAAAAAGAATTGTAGTGCAATTTACCGTGAAATATAATCATTCCTTAGAGAAGTTGCGGCATACTACAAAAAAAGCAGCAAGCTCAAGGCACATCTCGAATTGCAATCAATAAAATTAGCATCATAATAGGATAACAAGGATCTATTGGCTGATGGCTATCAATGATGGCCTTCCGGCAAGAAGCAGTTGAAGAGGCAAGCGAAAAGCAAATTTGCCTGTCCACCACTTAGTTGTTTTTGTTAATCAACTTCTCCTGATAAGTGCACAGCACATAAGTGACAAGAATGAAGTAAAAGAGACTCTTGATTTTTTTGTGCATAAAATGACAAATCGTACAATTTGTACTCAATTACAATTGGGCATTGGCATATCACTTTAGTATTTTTAACATAAAGTCAATAATAGATTTTAGGAGCAATTTAAAAGCCGCATCATCCAAACAATACACAAAAAGGTTGATTCAACTTTTTCTAAACCAACGTGCAAGATAATCAATATCCAAACGAGATCTTTATCTATTGAATCTTTAAAAGGGTTCCAACAACTTCATGGAACACAACTCTAAAATCAATTCATCTAGCTTCAAGCAATCGGACTTTCCAAAGATCATCAAAAGTTAAAATAACTAGTAGATTTTTGATAAATCTATGACAGTTTTTTTACAATTTAAGAAAGAATGATCCCAATCAGAATGAAAATTAAAACTAATGCAAAATAGTGAAGGAAATAATCAAATTGCAATCTAAGTATGGAGAAGGGTTATTTGAAAGTAAAAAGTTCAAGGAGAAATCTGCTAGACTCGTGCTTATAATGTTCTTGGTAAAACTCAATGAAGAGAAGCTTTGTTTACAGGGATTTGCAAAAGGACTACAACTTTTGAAAAGAAGTTTCATTCATTCTTTTTTATAGACAATATGATTATACATTTGTATATAGAACCTAAGAGGAAACAATGGTGAATTTAATTAAAACTAATCACGACTACGTCAAAAAAAATATAAAATAAGGTTGGAATGATTTAAGTGAAATCCCTAACTTAGATTATTAACAATTATTAACACTATTAAACAATCATTGCAGACATCATGCGTGAATAAAAAATATTGAGGTTTCATGTTAATTTAACAAATGATACTAAAAGTGAAATGAAATGAATCCAAATAAAAATTATGTTAGTAATAAGCAGTTCCTAAGAATCGATATGTGGATGACATCAACAAATGAAGCTTCACAATTTAACCTAATTGTGATAAAAAGTGGGCAAAGGTTGGTTAGAAAATCACTAGCAACAGGTTGATAAGATTTGGAGAATTAATTGAGTGTGTTTTATTCCAACATAAACATAATTAATACAACTCTAGGAATCTTCTAATAGGAAGCATATGAAAATAGGAAATAAAAATAACTACAAAATAATTACAATAGCCTCCCAAATTGGTGAGAAAGCGGCAAGAATCCTATATATTTATGAGGTGGCAGTCCAATGCAATAATTAAAAATGGAAGAGGAAGCAAATGTCCAATCTAGGGAGCTGCTAGTGGCTTGGCTAGTTGAGAGTTGGAAATCAAAAAAGCAAGCAACTTTAGTCTGGCTGGAGGCAAAATCCAAGGAATAAAACCGTGGGTCCTAGCGCATTTAATAGCTGTTGGAGGAGAATATTTAAAGAGTGTTTCACGCTCTCCTTTAAATGAATGAAAAGGGCTCATCCATTCCAAACTTGACGGATAATTTTTGAAAGAATACCCTAAAAATCCTTTGCTGAGTGTGCCTATAAGTTGTTCATATGTGGTTATGAATAAAAACTAAATCAAGTCGCTGCCCAGCTTCACATTCGTAAGATATCTATCACCCGGCACAATAAGAGTCTCAAATGACCTTTCTATTCAACCTATAAATATTTAAGGGTAAACATTAGCCTAAAAAAATACAACAATTCCTAGTGTTGTGGTTTATGCTTAGATATTACTGTTATATTTTACATTTTACTACTCCAAGGCATGAGCTTGCCTCATAAGAATAAGTAATATATTGAACTTGATCTCCTATCAACTGTAGAACCCACATAATTTGCATAAGCTTAAAAAGTTAGAGTCTCCTCCATTTAAATTTTATAAAAGTTTATACACTGCACTTAGTTGTAATTCTTTAAAATGGAGCGTGAATTGACTCACAATACTTGAAGCATAAACAAAGTTGGGCCTAGCATAAGATAAGAGGATGTCTTATCATAAATCTTTGATAGAGAATAATAAAAGTGGGTGCCACCAAACACAATGAGTAAATATCTTGGAAGTTGCTAAAGTCATGAGATTAAATCCTTCTACATCAAATTTATGTTTCCGTATCCAAACCATCCCAGTAAAATATAAATAATTTTATATGAACATTTTATATATAAAAAATACTATTAATAACAATTACAGTTAGAAGTATAACCGAGGGCCATTTAGATTTATTTTTAGTTATTTGTTTTCCTTTTTTTAAAAAAGCACAGAATGACACGTCATAAGAACAATTATTTTAAAAAAATAATACACATAAAATGTCTACACACACATGTGTGTGTATTTATATGTATGTATATATATATATATATTATATCACGATGTCGGCTGCGGTCGAGAGCTCTACTAGGGTTTCCAATGGAGATTTTCGTCGCATTTGATTCCACCGATAGAAGGAGAGGGGCTCGCAACTCGTTTCGTCGACTCATGCTCTGGTCTGCGTCTGAGTCGGCATCATTGGACGCAAATTCTAGCTCGTGTCTGCGTCAGCGTGCATTTGTTGTGTCTGCACCCTTCCTTTCGACGTTGCGCCTTTCCCTGCTTCTACGTCTGACAGTTTCTTTCCTTCTGTTTCGACGCTTCATTTCTTCTGTTTGCATCTGCGCCCATGCTTCACTCCGGCCCGACAGTAACAGCATTCTTTCGTCTGCTTGTTAGGAACTTACTGTAGGTGAATTTCGGCACTTCTCCTTGCTCCGATGGCACTTCCTTCTTCTTTGGCTGAACCGACAATGGCCTTCTTTGCCCGCGTGGTGGGTAACCGTCAGGTGGAGTATGCGGTGTTCTTCCCCTCAAGTTATAAGGATTGTCGCGATTGTACATATGATTGCCCTTTTGTTAAGAAGAAAAATAGAAAATGTAGAAAAGCAGCAATCTTTTTCTCTGACTCAGAAATTTCGACCATGAAGGAAAAATTCAAGTTTGTTCTTATTGGAAAATTTCAATGGGGGCACCCACTTATGGATGTTATCAAAAAAAGTGTTGATGATCTTAAACAAG